CAGAAACAAAGTAGAAGGACAAAATGGAACTGTAATAGTGATGCTAGCAACCTTAGATGATTTTGGCATTAACACAATTACAAACATAATAAACAAAATATACAATATAACGATGCACCGGAAGATCTAAGTAGATCCATATTTAAAACACTGCCTAAGAAGCCAGGTGCAAATCAATGTGAACTCTATCAGACAGTCTAATGAGCCATCTAACAAAACTTATCATCTGAATCTTGATAAATAGAGTGTGCAGTAGAATCAAACTGGAAATAAGACAAGAACAGTGGAGACACTGGAACAAGGAATGTAATATTTATGCTCAGAATGACAGCGGAAAAAGCAAAACAAATGCAAAAGGATGTATACTTATGTTTATAGATTATGCAAAAGTGTTTGATAAAGTACAACACAAAGAACTACTTGAACTGTTAAGTAAGCTTGACATATTCAAGAAGAATATTAGAATAATCCAGAACTTATATTGACAGCAAACTGTCTGCATACAAATAGAAAATGAATTCATGCTAAATATACAATAAAAAAAGAGGTGTAAGACAAGGATGCATCTTCTCATCAGACCTTTTCAACCTATACAGCAAGGACATTCTGAGAGAATTAGAAGTCCTACCAGAATTCATTATTAGTGGCCACAATCTTAACAACATAAGTTATGCAGATGACACAGTGCTGATAGCAGACACAGAAAGAAAACTACAAGAACTTCTACAGAATGTAGTCAAGGCAAATGATAAGAAAGGATTAAATATCAACTGCAAGAAGACTGAAAGAATGGTTGCTATCAAAAGGAACAGGGTAACAAACATCTGGAAGAGATAGTTAAAATTTCTGGGGCAGCTAATGAAGAAAGAGGGCTTGGAAAATTTTATATTCACAGGATGGACTGAAAGTAAGCAGGACAGAGAAAAGCAATACACAACCCACCTAGTGAGCTTGAGTGAATGGATTGCAGAGCAGGGTTTGGAAGAGATAGCAAAGAGACAAAAGTTATTAAGGGCCCTAAAGGACAAGAAATTGTGGATAGACATGATGGCCAATGTCCTGAAGGTAGAAGAAAATTTTGATTCTCACAATCATTATCAAGAACCAATGCAGTATCTATAAAATATAATAAAAATTAAACTGACAGACCATATCAAACTTAGATAAATAACTGATGCCTATATATATATATATATATATATATACTCTATCTCTGATATTAAGCACTTTATCCCATAAATATAGCACACCTTAAAATATATATATATATATATATATATACTCTGTCTCTGATATTAAGCACTTTATCTCATAAATATAGCACACCTTAAAACTATATTTCTTCATATATAATAATAATAATAATGGATTCTCCCATCGGTTTCGACATATGAGGATCATACAGCTTAGTTGATTCAGTTATAAAATTTTGTGCGAAAAACTTAAGTGGCATTTAAGACCTGCTAATGATTTACAAAGAAGGCCACATATGGAGCAAGTGTGAGGATTGTGAGATGAGATCACTGTTAGATTGGCTGACCTTTTAGATCTTGCTCTCACTTCTTGAAGATGATTCAGACAAGCAGACTGAAAACTGTTGAGTCATATATATATATATATATATATATATATATATATATATATATATATGTATATGAATGATTAAATAATGAGCCAATAAGAAAATGTTTATAAATTTAACATGTTGGTAAATGAGGGGGAGGCTGAAGATGTTCAAGTATTTCAAATTCTGTGCAGTTTGCTTTCATTGGTCAGGTAGGTCTCATATTGAATTTGTAAAAATATTAGAATGTATTCCATATTTAATCATTCTGTCAGTTTTACTCTGCATTTCTTCAATTCATGTGTGTGTGCTTGCGAATAAAACTTCAGATATAAAAAATTATATTTGTAAAAAGACAACATGAATAAAGAGAAAAGAAAATCTTTTCTTCATCAATGCATTTCAGGCTCTGATGAACTTTATTACGTTAGATATACCTTGATAAAGTCCGTCAGTGGACGAAACTCATTGGTAAATAAAGGTTCTCCGTTCATATTTATTCATATAAGTACATACACACATATGTATACACACAAAGCACACACATAAATATTTATATATACAAACACACACAATCACATATATATACACATATATATATGCACACACACAGACACATGTATACATAGATACATACACACATATATATACACATATGCATACATAGATATATAAATATATATATATATATATATATACACACACACACATGCATATATATATATATATATATATATATATATATATATATATATATATACACACAGACACACATACACTTGCACACACATATATATATATTAAGGTAAATATACCTTGATAAAGTCCATCAGACGACAAAACTCATTGGTAAATAAAAGTTTTCCATTCATGTTTCTTCATATAAATACACACACACATATATATATATATATATATATATATATATATATATATATATATATACACACACACACAAAGCACACACACATATACATAGATATATACATGCACATACATATATATATATGTATACATATACATTTATATACATGCATACATACACACACACACATACACACACATATATATATATATAATTAATGTGTATTTGAGCAGAAACCTTTCTTTGAAGTGTGTTTCATTGAAAATGACCAACATATACACATGCACACACACACACACACACACACACACACATATATATTTGTACAAATTTAGGCTAATTAGTTTGTAATTGTTGTTTTAAACATTTTATTAAAAAGTAAATTGTCTTTTCTAAATTGTGAATAATCTTTTCTTTGCAAAGGTTATTCACAATTTAGAAAAGTCACTGGTTAAATTTAACAGAATAGAATGTCTAATGTTTCAATAAAATATGTTTAAAAATGATTATTTGCAATTTAGAAATACAGATGGCAAAATTTAATAGACAGTGAATGTGTCTCTGTAGTTTTCAGTAAAATTTGTGCAAATATATATCATCACATATCACTAACAATAAATGTCTATAACAAAAGTAAACGTTTTATATTAAGGCAGTCCTGTAGATATTTAAATATGCAGACAAATGGACACATTTATTGATTTGCTCCCATATACATGTATATACACATACTCTAACTCCTCATAGGTCGACATCCATATCACCAAATTTAAGCATCATCAAGCCTGGTCAGTACCTAGATGGGGAACTGCTTGGGAATATAAGGTGCTGTAAACTTGGATATACAGGTGGTGTAAAGGCTTGGAATTAGAAATTGGAGAGTCAAGTTCCAATTCCTGTCAGGTTCGTTATATTCACTTACATGAAAATACCTTTAGGAAAGATATGAATCCATCTCTTCTCCCTACATCTATAGGTTAATTAGCAGCACTTGTATCAGTAAATCCTTTTGATTTAAAATGGTTTCTAGCTTTAAATAACTTGCAAAAAATTGATAAGCAGTATAAAACACATTAATCAATCAGTTTTAGTTCTCATAAAAGAAAAACCATAAGGACACTAGAAAAAACTGTATAAAAAAATTTAAAAACTTTTTCTTTGTTCATCATATTCAAGAAAATATGTATAAACAAAGGATTGCTGCCCAAATATATAATATATGTTGGTATATTATATATATGTTAGTACATCTAGCTGTACTTCTTAATATTTTCTGAGTGGCTCTTGAGCCTTTTACAGGGTGAACACTATTTTATTTTTTTTCTCATTCTCTCATGAAAAGAAATTGTTGGAAACTTTTGCATACACCTTATCTGGTCGCTTGCTGTAGAGCAAGATAGTTTTGCACATGATTCATGAGATCGATCCCTACTTTTGCAGACTTATTTAAAACTAGCTAAGATTAGTGAATACATAAAGGCACATACTGTAGAGTGATAGTTAATAAGCACAACACACAAACCATTTCTAGTGGACTGAGTCCATTCTCCAACTAGTGCCTCATTGTTGCAGTCTTGTGCCAAACTAAAGTAGGACTGAGTAAATAATCTTAACGTTAATTTAATTTAAACAGACATGGAAATGCAATAAATCCACAAACATTTATATTCCCATCTCTCTAAACATGCACAGAAATTTATACAATTTTTTTAAAGTAAGTAAAAAGACAATTATATATACCTAAGTCTTAACACATTTGCAACAATTTTTTACCTATTATCGATGTCATACATACAAATATATAGATGTCGACTGTACAAATATTTTAAAAATATATCCAAATTACACATACTCTAACTGATACCAATCTACATACTTAATCAAATATATACATATCTATCTACATTCTATGTCTATTTATATTCTATCCATATCTATATTCGGTCTATTTATATTCTATTCATATCTATCTGTATTCTATCCATATTTACCTACATTCTATGTCTACTTATATTCTATCCATATCTATCTATATTTGGTCTATTTATATTCTATCTTTATCTATCTATATTCTATATATGTCTATTGATATTCTATCCATATCTATCTATATTCTGCCTATTTATTTTCTATTCATATGTATCTATATTCTATCCATTCTATGTCTGCTTATATTCTATCCATATCTATCTATATTCTACCTATCTCTATTTATATTCTATTCATATCTACCTATAATCTATCTATGTCGATGTCTATCTGTATTCTATCCATATCTATCTTTTGAAATGCATCAATATAATCATTAATATATACATAGCAAACAAACACATTTGCAAATAGTGTCATATTCACTGCAAACACATCATACCAACTTATGTATACAAACATTTACTCACTTTTGCACATACACAATTACACACACATATGTACACACAATTACAAGCATGACAATGCATAGGCATATTCACATACACAAGTTATATGTAAAAAAACAAAAACAAAATAATCAAGGTAGGTACTGTTTTTGCAGTAAAAGCAATATGTATTTAGTTGTGGTGTGTGGATGTGTTATTTCTTGGAGAAAATGTGAAAAGTGAGGTAAAATAAAAGGTTGGTGGGGAATGAAAGACGAAGTGAGGCGACGAGGCAGAGGATGAAAGGGTAGGGCTGAGATAGTCTGAGAGGAAGCACAAAAGACGAGGATGCAATGGAGCACGTTTTGCTCTGATAGGTAAGCAGGTAGGTAGGTAGGTAGGTATGGAATGAAGGAGAAACGAATAAGAAGTGGAAAAATATGGGAAGACCATCTGATGTTGAAGTATTAAGAATTTCAGATGTAGTGGTAGTGTCCAAAAAGAGTAGGTGGTGGTGGTGGTGGTGGTGATGGTGGCATTTGTGATGCCTGGGCAGTGAAAACCATATCATCAGTATTGTTACTGTCTATGTCATCCTCTTCAAAGAGAGAATGTGAGAGTGGAAGGAGAAGAGAGAGGAGTGATGAGAAAGGAAAGAGTAATGAGAAAGAGAAAGGTGAGAAAGGTTCCCAAGAAGAAGTTTTAAAAGGTGGGCAACTGGAGTAAGTGGGGGAGGAGGAAAGAACACAGGGAAGGAAAATGCTGAGAAGGAAAATCAGGGTGATAGAGAGAGATGAAGAGTGAAGTAAAGAGCTGTGGTGAGATAAGCAAAGAAAATCAATTGGAGAAAGAACAAAAAGAAAATTAAAAACAGAAATGCTGGAAAAGAAAGAAAGAAAGAAAGAAAGAAAGAAAGAAAGAAAGAAAGAAAGAAAGAGAGAAAGAAAGAAATGCTGGAAAATGAAGAAAGAAAGAAAGAAAGAAAGAAAGAAAGAAAGAAAGAAAGAAATGCTGGAAAATGAAGAAAGAAAGAAAGAAAGAAAGAAAGAAAGAAAGAAATGCTGGAAAATGAAGAAAGAAAGAAAGAAATGCTGGAAAATGAAGAAAGAAAGAAAGAAAGAAAGAAAGAAAGAAAGAAAGAAAGAAAGAAAAATGCTGGAAAATGAAGAAAGAAAGAAAGAAATGCTGGAAAATGAAGAAAGAAAGAAAGAAAGAAAGAAAGAAAGAAAGAAATGCTGGAAAATGAAGAAAGAAAGAAAAAGATTAAATAGGTGAAAGAAAGAAAAAAGAATGACAGGTTGAATAAGTAAAAGAAAGAAAGGAAGGTTGAATAAATTAAATAAAGAAAGGTGAAACAGATAAAAGAAAGAAAGAAACATTAAACAAATTAAAGAAAGAAGAAAGAAAGAAAGAAAGAAGAAAGAAAGAGAGCTTGAGTAGATAAAAGAAAGGAGGAACGAATTAAAGAAATGCAGGGAGAATTTAAAAAGATGTTTAAAAGGGAAAAGAAAGAAATCAGCCTGCCTCGTGACTGAAATATTTCCCAATGGTGCCAGTGGTTGGTGTTCAAGCCCAGGTACAAAGTTTGGACTTTATATGCTGATTTTCAGGGCAGGCTCTCCTTGCTTGGAAGAATGAACTTACATCATATTCCTTCCATTTGAACCTGTGCCACACAAATATAAGCTTTGTAAATATCAAAACACGAAGAAAAGGATAGATAGAGAGAATTGAATAGTAAAGAAAGATTAATTAGAGAAGTACTAAATTTGATAAAGAGATGAAAGTCAAAAGAGAGGAAAGAGACAGAATCTAGTGACAAATGAAAAAAGGGAAAAAGATAAATAAAAAATAAACAAAATAAAAAAGTAAGTTGGCTATAGAAAGAGAGAGATGAATAAAAAGATAAATAATGAAAGAGAAAGGGATGAGAAAAATTAAAGAGAGGGAGAGAGGAAGAAAAAATAGAGAAGTAGTAAAAAGAGACGCAATAAAATAAAGAGGAGGAGGGTAAGTATTAGAGAGAAAATACATGGTGGGTGTGGGTAGAAGGGAGAGGAGAGTAAAGTAGGTGGGAATGATGGCAAAAAGATGGAATGGTGATTGGGTATACCAGGCTCAATGGTAAGAAGCGGAATGTTTCAACCCACCTTCTGTAAACACATATGCTGATACGTACATACAGATGTCTGCACACATGTATATGCACACTTCTTAGGTACATGTGTGCACAGGCGCATGTGTGATTGTCATACCCACCCACCAATGCTATACTGACTTCCTCAGTAGTCTCCAGAACTCCCACCACCCTTACTTTTAGGTCGGCACTTACCCACACACCTAACCTGCTATGTAAGTTTCCCCCTCTTTGGGTTTTGTAAAGAATTAGGAAATTAAATAGGCGATAAAGAAGAAAAGAAGTTTGGAAAAGGGTAAAAACAGAAAAGAAAAAAGAAAAGAGAAAAAGGTGAGAAAGAGAGAAAAGTGAAAAAAGAAAAAATGATAGGACAGAAAAGGTGAATGAGAAGGAGAAAAAGGCAAGAGAGAGAAGCAAATATAAAAAGGAAAGAGGAACAAAGGGAAATTGAAGGAGGTAGAAAGAAAAGAAAAAAGAAAAGAAAAAGGTAGAAAGAAAAGAAAAAAGGAAAAAGAGGGAGAAAAGAAGAAAGGGATGACAAAGAGAAAAGAAAAATGAAAGGAAATAAAGAAGGAAATGTTAAAGGAAAGAAGAAGGAATGAAATTATTAAAAAAAAATGTACTTTAAGAAAATAATGAAAAACAGACAAACTTGGTGTGAAGAAATAGGGAATAAACAATATTGTAAGAAGACTATTTTGGCCGAGGAAGAGATGTTGAGAAAAAGAGGAAGAGAAAAGAAAGTGGAGAAGAAAGAAAATGAAGAGTAAATAAAAAAGGCAAAACATGAAAAGGAAAAAAGAAAGGAAAGTGGATAACTCTGGAAAAGAAATAAAAAAGAGAAGAGGTAAAAAAAGAAAGGAGAAAAAAGCAAAAAAGAATAAAGATGAAAAAGAAAGAAAGAAGAATAAAAATCATAAAGAGAGAAGTTAATGCAAAAATGAAAGAAAAAAGAGAATAAAGTTGAAAAGGAAAAGAGAGTAAAAGTGACAAAAGAAAGAACAATAAAGCTGAAAAAGAAAGGAATGAGAATAAAGTTGAAAAGAAAGAGAGGTGTATAAAAGTGAAAAAGAAAAAAGAGAATAAAATAAAGAAAAGAGGAGAAAAGGTGACAAGGATAGAAGAGGGAATAAAAGTGAAAAGGAAACAGGTAAAAAAAGAGAAAAAATATAAAAAGGAAAGAAGAGAAAGAAAAGGAAGAATAAAGAAAGAAAAAAGGTAAAAAGAAAAGAGAAGGGTAAATGTAAAAAAAGGAAGAAAAGAGAATAAAGATAAAAAAGAAAGAGATTAAAGGATAAAAAGAAAAAATAAAGGTAAAAAAGAAAGAAAGAAAAGAGAATAAAGGTAAAAAAGAAAGAAAGAAAAGAGAATAAAGGCAAAATGAAAAGAAAGGGGGTAAAGGTGAAAAGGAAGAAGAAGAAAAAAAGGTAAAATGGAAGACAAGAAAATAAAAGTAAAAAGAAAAGAAAGGAGCAAAGGAAAGAAAGAGATAAAATTAAATAAAATTAAAAGAAAAAAGAGAAAATCTGACTATGAAAAAGAAGATAAGTAAAATTTAAAACAGAAATTAAATAAAAGAAAGTATTCAGTTAATAAAAATTAAAAACCCTCTGAAAAAAAAGAACAGGGAAAAAAGAATTTAAGAAAGAAAAGAAAAAGAAATAAATATTTTTTTAAATCGTACAGCCAATAAACTTAAGACAATAACTATTGCAAAAACATGAACAAGACAAAAATCACTAAAAAGGTGGGGAAAAAAGAAAGATAAGATCAGCAGGAAGAGAAAATTTTTTAAAATATGAAAATAAAAAATAATCAGCTATGAAAGATATTGAAGAAGAATATTGCTGTCAAGTAAAAGAAGAAAGTTCACTTCAACAGGAAAAAACAGAAGAGATTAGAAAATTATCTATGTGGGTATTCTAACGGCATTTCTGCATCGCTTAGAAAAGAATGAAAATTGGCCCCAGATCTTATTTATCTCCCTCATCTTTCATTATTATTTTTTTTCTCACCAGTTAAAGTTGTGCATGGTTTCAAATAGAATAGTGGACATTGAAGAACAATCTATTTCTCTTTATTGACATCTTTCCTAACAGGAAAGCAAGATGGACAGAAGAACTGAATTATTTTTGTTTTCTTACTGTTAGCATATACTTATTATTAACATAGTACCATGTTTTAATGCTTATAAGATGCACTTTTTTCCTATAAAATATAAACAAAAACCACCCTATAAATCAAAGATCAATTAACTTCTCTTCTAATTATTACATTCTAAATCTGTGACTCTCAACTGCTGCACCATGGCACACTAGTGTGCCATGCAATCCTCTTAAGTGCGCCGCTAAATAACATAAAAAATAAGAAGCAAAAAAGACTACGTCTACTGAAGAAAAAATGATGGTAATTTTCATTTTAACACCCAGGTGTCATTCATTGCTGAACTATTTTCTTTCAGAAATTAGTATGCGCTTCCGTAAAGAATTTTTTTTTTGTACTTAGTTTAAGAAGAAAGTTAACTTTCAAATATATGTAATCATTGACAAATAAAAGAATAACAAAAGAAAAAAAACACCTAACCCTAATTTCAAAGTTAACTTTCTTCTTGAAAAAAAAATAAAAAAATAAAAGATAACCCAAAAAAAACACCTAACCCTAATTTGAAAGTTAACTTTCTTCTTAAAAAAAAAAATAAAAAAAATAAAAGAATAACAAAAGAAAAAAAAACACCTAAAAAAAAAAATTACTTTGTTATTCTTGTAATTGTCGATGTTTACAGATATTTCAAAATTAACTTTCTTCTTAAATTAAGTACAAAATAAAAATTGCTTTACGGAAACGGAAACGCATACTACTTTCTACAAGGAATTACTGTGAAGGAAGTAAATAGGCTCAAATTGTATACGTCCACCAACAAAATTCATCACTGAATTACTTATCAATAAGCCAGTAATGGCTGACAAAAGACCAGGAAAAAGTCCAATTTTTTGGGGTCGTGAACATCCAAAAAGGTAGGTTTCTTCAATATCTAATTGTTGATTTGAGTTCAGCATATACATTTGCATAGAAATAAGTCTATTTTGGAAAAATTTGAAAGGATATTTGTGCTCGGGTGTTAAAATAAAAATTTACCAAAATGATTGTCTGTTTATTGTACATTTGACCAAACATTGAAGAAATTGCAAAAAATCTCCAGGCACAGGTTTCACATTAAATAAGTTACACAAATAGTTGAATAGAAACATTGAAATAAAGTAAGTTCATATTTGTGTGTGTATTTTTCTTAAAAATCTATGGTTTTATTTCATAACATTTCAATGTATACCTTTTAAAAATTTTGCTAAGAGTGCCATGATATTTTCATTTGCTCCTCTGTGGGCCATTGCTTAAAAAGGTTGAGAATTACTGTTCTAAATAGTTACCATAAATTTGGTACTTCTTGATCTGTGATAAATTTGTCATGATTAGTTAGGTTTTCAGGCTGAGATATGCTATACAGTAAGTAAAATTGGGGATATTGTACAATGAAGTACAAGGAAAAACTTTTTTTTCCCCATTTCTTCCTTCAAAATTTTGGGGAGGGGGTCTAATGCATCAGAATATCTTATAAGCAAGTAGATAGATAGATATGAACGGACCAAGATAGATAGATAGATATGAAGAGACCAAGATAGATAGATAGACAGATAATGAGCAGACTGTGATAGATAGATAGATAGACAGATAGATATGAACGGACCAAGATAGATAGATAGATAGATAGATAGAGAGATCGATATGAACAGAGCAAGATAGATAGATAGATAGATAGATAGATAGATAGATATGAACAGACCAAGATAGATAGATAGATAGATAGATAGATAGATAGATAATGAGCAGACTGCAATAGATAGATAGATAGATAGATGATGAGCAGACTGCGATAGATAGATAGATAGATAGATAGATAGATAGATAGATAGATAGATAGATAGATAGATAGATAGATAGATATGAATGGACCAAGATAGATAGATAGACAGATATGAACAGACCAAGATAGATAGATAGATAGATAGATAGATAGATAGATAGATAGATATGAATGGACCAAGATAGATAGATAGACAGATATGAACAGACCAAGATAGATAGATAGATAGATAGATAGATAGATAGATAGATAGATAGATAGATATGAATGGACCAAGATAGATAGATAGACAGATATGAACAGACCAAGATAGATAGATAGATATGAACAGACCAAGATAGATAGATAGATAATGAGCAGACTGCAATAGATAGATAGATAGATAGATAGATAGATAGATAGATAGATATGAACAGACCAAGATAGATAGATAGGATAGGATAAACAACAAATAGGAAATGTTTATAAATCTAACATGTTTCACTTTTATTAAAGCTTCATCAGGAAATGAGATATGGAAAAAACTCATTCTCTGATGAAGTTCTAATAAAAGCGAAACATGTTAGATTTATAAACATTTCCTATTTGTTCCTTATCCTATCACTCTGTCAGATTCACATTTGATCTGTATATGATCCCAATAGAGAGATAAATATAATTAAAGATAGATCTGAAAATGTGTTTAAGTCAGCATACACATACAGATAGATAGATACACACATACAAAACATACATACATGTATGAATATGTGTACATTATGTATATGTCTATAAGTATATACTGAGAGAGAGATACAAATAATATGATTAAAAGGATATTTTTATTAAGATCATAAAAATTAACTTTCCTTACATTTGGTGTCTTTAGAAAAAAGCTAAGTGGTAAAAAATTAGCTTTTAAACAAAATTCATAGAGTATTTTGATATTTTGTTATTGTTGAGCTGTTAAAAATTTCTATACGATTGTCAGCCATTTCTATTTCAGTCTGTTCCTATGTTCGATCATTATCTATCTATCTATCTATCTATCTGCTTCTGTTCACACCTATTTATCTATCTGTCCCAGTCCATTCATATCTATCTATCTATCTATCTATCTTCATATCTACCTATGCCTATATTCTG